ACCTTAAATAGTGCTTTACTGCGAAGGATCGTGCACATATACGTTTCATAACCGCAGTTCATATATATGTATTTCATATGTTTGTTGTTTGATTTATCATCTACGGGTTTATGTCGAATTAATTTGATGGCCTGCTCCCAGTTGGCTTGTTAGCTCAATTGGTAGAGCGCTGCACTAGTATCGCAGAGGTCAGTGGTTCGAATCCCGTACAGGCCTGAATTTTTTTCAGGTCTGATTTTCACTATTGCTTAAATAGTGCTTTACTGCGAAGGATCGTGCACATATACGTTTCATAACCGCAGTTCATATATATGTATTTCATATGTTTGTTGTTTGATTTATCATCTACGGGTTTATGTCGAATTAATTTGATGGCCTGCTCCCAGTTGGCTTGTTAGCTCAATTGGTAGAGCGCTGCACTAGTATCGCAGAGGTCAGTGGTTCGAATCCCGTACAGGCCTGAATTTTTTTCAGGTCTGATTTTCACTATTGCTTAAATAGTGCTTTACTGCGAAGGATCGTGCACATATACGTTTCATAACCGCAGTTCATATATATGTATTTCATATGTTTGTTGTTTGATTTATCATCTACGGGTTTATGTCGAATTAATTTGATGGCCTGCTCCCAGTTGGCTTGTTAGCTCAATTGGTAGAGCGCTGCACTAGTATCGCAGAGGTCAGTGGTTCGAATCCCGTACAGGCCTGAATTTTTTTCAGGTCTGATTTTCACTATTGCTTAAATAGTGCTTTACTGCGAAGGATCGTGCACATATACGTTTCATAACCGCAGTTCATATATATGTATTTCATATGTTTGTTGTTTGATTTATCATCTACGGGTTTATGTCGAATTAATTTGATGGCCTGCTCCCAGTTGGCTTGTTAGCTCAATTGGTAGAGCGCTGCACTAGTATCGCAGAGGTCAGTGGTTCGAATCCCGTACAGGCCTGAATTTTTTTCAGGTCTGATTTTCACTATTACTTAAATAGTGCTTTACTGCGAAGGATCGTGCACATATACGTTTCATAACCGCAGTTCATATATATGTATTTCATATGTTTGTTGTTTGATTTATCATCTACGGGTTTATGTCGAATTAATTTGATGGCCTGCTCCCAGTTGGCTTGTTAGCTCAATTGGTAGAGCGCTGCACTAGTATCGCAGAGGTCAGTGGTTCGAATCCCGTACAGGCCTGAATTTTTTTCAGGTCTGATTTTCACTATTGCTTAAATAGTGCTTTACTGCGAAGGATCGTGCACATATACGTTTCATAACCGCAGTTCATATATATGTATTTCATATGTTTGTTGTTTGATTTATCATCTACGGGTTTATGTCGAATTAATTTGATGGCCTGCTCCCAGTTGGCTTGTTAGCTCAATTGGTAGAGCGCTGCACTAGTATCGCAGAGGTCAGTGGTTCGAATCCCGTACAGGCCTGAATTTTTTTCAGGTCTGATTTTCACTATTACTTAAATAGTGCTTTACTGTGAAGGATCGTGCACATATAAATTTAATGTAAGTTTGTTTTCTTGCTCGTTTGTTCCCTAATCGCTTGCAATTGCGCGCATACAAATACGTTTTATAGCATCGTGGAATTTTATTTCCTTCAAGATCTTAGCGTTTATCGTAACTGGGAGTGTTAGCAGTATCTACACCTGTCTAGAATCATTCGTGTCCTTAATCGTTAATCATTCAAAAGCTGGTTTTATAAACGTTGTCACACAGTAATAATGATTGGAATGTTTATAACTATTGACTCGTGACTTGCCGTCTTCAGTGAAATCCCTTATTACCAAGTAATTAGTTTTCTGCATTGTATTTCAGTTTACGTTTGATTATTGCCAATAAATTCACCGTCAATTACAGTTGGTTTTCCGTGATCTCGGGCACCGTTCAATCAGTAAAGCATCCCCTCACACACGCTCTATTCACCGCGACACGTTGTCTCGCAAGTGACCTTCAGCCTTTCAGCAATTGCCGTGAATCTGGCGTTACACAAAAGAAATTTTGAAATCTAAAAATAAATCCCATTTTTAAGATGATATCTTCATTCGGTCTTCTTAAATGTGATTTAAATATTCAATCAGTATTTTTACAATCGATGCGAATTTCTTTACACTCTAAGATTACATTTGCATCCACGCGTGCGGCCTTGTGATATCCTCTTTATATTGAATCAATTCAGGGTAGCATTTTCGATTGACTTCCTCTTTTCCACGACTGTTTCTACTGTCTATCACCCAAGAGATTACCTCTTGCTATCACCGAATTAATAACCAGTGAAAGGGCTGTCAGCCGATGTGCATTTGGGTGCCTACAAAAACTGTTGTCAATCAGTTTGACTCTCTTCTCTTCCTCGTACATTTAACGAAAACTTAACTAAGTAGTCAACTATGATTTAACTAAGTATTCCGGCTACCTGAACTTCACTTGGTATATCAAGAAATTTCTTTCTAACAATTTCTCAAAAGAGAGAAAAGGAAAAGCACTATGTCAAAGTTTTTATAGTGGATAGAGGATCGCAGGTGTCAGAATAGCTTTTATTAAAGTCAATGTGTTACAAATTGACAAAAGAGGTCTGCCGTCTAACTTTTTGGTAGTAAATGCAGAAGATCGTTCTCAAGATTATGAAATATTGGCAAATAGTGCGAGGAGTTGAATATATTTTTGTTGACCCATGGCTAGTACTGAGTCGGTCCTCAAGATCTAATTCTCATAAAATTCTAACCGACAACAGACACGGGGACCCGGGTCTCGTAAATGCAAGAAATTCGATCGGTTTTTATTCTGAAGGATCAATTTTAGCACCTCTTTAAACATAGAGATAATTATGTCTTCGTCATGCTGCCATGTATCTTACTGTTAGCTTCTGGTAGCAAGCGATTATCTAGCATATTGACTTTGAGGATGTTTGCGATTTGTATTTTCGATGTCTTTTTCTCAGGAAACCCTCGGAGTAAAAATATCAATTTTTTTCCGGCAATCAAAATCGAGAAAAGAGGCGACACGAAGTATTTATTTAAAAGATTTTTCTTAGATTTTCGCAACTTTCGATCGGGATGTCTTTGGTTATTGTTAAACCTTCTCTGCGGCTCATCATGGAGGGAAAGAAGTGCAAACACACACTTTTTTAAAAAGTTTGCGAGCCTTTTCTAGACTCTACGACTACAAAGATCACGGCCGCGTGAACAACTTGCCCATTGAGGGACGTGGTACAGGGTTGGAAAATCCCACCTTTCGTTTTGACGGCAGTGTTAGCAGATCAGTCTTTCCCATTATACTTTTAGTCAAGTTAAATCGTAACAGGCCAGGACTGATTGCAGTTTTCTTCACGCTTTCCTCTTTAAACACTCGCATAGAACCATAATTGACGTAGAATTAAGTCCTCACAGTCAAACATTGCTTATAAACGAAATTTATTGGGACAGTGATTACTACGTTACATGAATTAAAATTAATTTCCTTCCGCATTTACCTACACTGAGGAATTATAGTAAAATAATGAGTATTATTACGGGGTAAAATAAACTTGAAAATCTGACATACTAAAAAAGATCAAAGAAAATTGGCAAATTCGTTGCTTAGCTGCTACGAATTTCAAAACTTTAACATACAGGGTAGCAACAAATACCAAGGTATTCAAGGAAATGTGCTGCCTGATCACATTTGTAACCTCCACTACCTAGTGGTTTACAGTCATATACGTAAAAGCAATTATGGACTTTGTAAGAGCACTTCATATTATACTCTACATGTCTTCCTTCGGAATAGCTAATCGGATCCTCGTTTTGTTTTGACAAACAATTCTCCATTGCATCTTTGCCCTTTGTGCTGCATGTAGAGAAGTCGTTTAATATATGATGCCGTTTTCCACGTCTATGATCTGTAACGAAACAAAACAGAAAACTATATTTGTGAACTAAAGC